GCAGCAAGTAAGGAGGCCGCTGACTTTTAATAATTTTATAATAAACGCAAGTTGCATGCAGTTTACGTCTGTTTTTCATGTTCAACCACCCAGTCTCTGCCAACTTATGACTAATATGGTCATATTTACGAATTCCGTAAATAAACCTCAGACAACCGTTCTGAAGGTTCTGGATACGACGCCCACTCGCCTCCGTTAAATTTGGACCATAAACAACGTCGCAGTGATTTAATTTGCTTAGAACCAAGCTATCACACAGCATAATTTTTAATTTTTTACTTAAGACATCCCTATGGGCATACAAGAGACGCAGGGCGCCATACCCACCCCTCAAGCACCTGGCCACATGCTCCTCAAACCTCAACTGATGATCCAATGTGACTCCTAAAATTTTTATATCATCAGAAACAGTAAGAGGTTCGCCATCCACCACCAATTGACCGGATATCAAAGGCTTAATCGCTCTCCTTGTGACACTACCGCAAAACAGAAGAACAGAAGACTTAAATGGATTTAGCACAAGTTCATGGCGTTTCGCAACATCAGAAAATAATGCTATATCTGAGTTAAATTTTATGCAGGCATCAACCCAATTATTTGGATTAAAATTCAGCAGAAGCTGTGTATCGTCTGCATACAAGTGAATCTGCGAATGCTCGAGAACCTGGTCAAAATCAGATGTATAAATAGAGAACAATAGTGGCCCCAAAATGGACCCCTGAGGGACTCCACGAGTAACAAACAGAGCGCTCGACACTTGACTATTAATCTTCACAACCTGAGACCTGTCCGACAAAAATGACTTTATCAAAATTGCAGCTTGATTTCCAAGACCAAAATAATTAAGTTTAGATGCAAGTATATTATGATTTATTGTATCAAATGCTTTGGTGAAGTCCAACGATAAATACATCAAATACATCATCAGTAAGGTTCAATAAAGCTGTTGCGCAGCTGAAACCCGAACGAAACCCAGATTGTTGATCTGGCAGTATACTATACCTTTCGCAGTGTGCTCTAAGCTACTCTGATGCAATTAAAATTGATGCAAGCAACCTCAGCTTAATCAGGCGAAATCATCCCAGAATGTAGATTTATAGTCAAGAATTTGAATTTATCCATGCTGTATACTAAGTCTAGCTGAGGTCGCTTGCGGCCGAGGCGTTAACGCCTAAATACAGAATAGATATTGCAAATTTATACCTGACTAAGCCAAGGTCGTTTGCGGGCGGGGTTCTACAATTAATATCATGCCAACGCGAAATTGATCAAAAAATTGAAGCGCCCCGCCCGCCAGCGATCTCAGCTTAATCAGTCGAAATCGTGAATACTGTATACTAAGTCTAGCCGAGGTCGCTTGCGGCCGAGGCTTCAGCGCTTAAATATAATAATAATAATAATAATAATCTTTATTACTCC